AGGCACTCCAAGAACCAAGTGGAAGCATCCCCGTCGCCAGCATTTGTGAAAGACGTCCGTGGGCACTTTGAACGCAGCCTTTCGGTTTTCGAATTTTTTACAAAACAAAAGCAATATTTCTGTTCTTTTCATTCTTATCGTGGATAATGAGTCTCAAGCCAGTGAATTATGGCTGAAATTGAATCATGATTTTTCCGTGAAGGATTCCTTTAAGCCGATAGTTGCCATCATGCCTACAAACAGATGCTTCGGTTGATGACGCATTTCACAGAAAAGTTATAGGATAGCGCATGAATTATAACCCTTTTCAAAATGATAATGAAGCGGAGCACAGGCGGAGGCGAAACCTAGAAAGGATTGTCGAGCTGACTGCGCTGCAACTAGAGCATCTTATTCCGCGAAGAGCAATATATCGCTTCCTCTGGCCCCTGGCTACTGCTTTCACTGGTGCATGCACTTCCATGCTGTACACACCTTTATCGTAATCCCTCGCTGCGAAAATGGGAAGGAAATCCGTGAAGCCGTACGTAACTTTTCACATATGCCACATACGCTATAGCAGGATCAAAAGTAGCGCGAAATCCGCACAAGAATAGCTGCGGTAGCTACGTCATTGAAAATGCATCCCAATATAGACAAATGATTCGAAGATATTGAGGTAATGAAGAACTGAACTACATACATCATTAAAAACCTTTATCATAGTAGAAACAGATTAGCAAATGCAACGTGATTTCAACACAGTGTCATCTTGCTAGTTGACAAGACGTCTGCAAGAACCAATCATGCATCTGGACGTGCGGGAACTAAATTGCTTTGGTTCATTTAAATTAATTCCATCTGACAAAACGGAAAACTAGTACCATATCTGTACTCGAACACTGCCGTTATGGAATCCCAATGAGCTCGGTTATACGTGATTATTGGAACGCGATTTGTGGAAGAACGAAGCACTCTTCCAGCGTCCTCAGAGCAGAACCTTCAACTCACTTTCAATCTATCGTAGCCTTTTCGAATATGTTTCGTGCAATTATTGACGAGATGCAAATTAAGTGAAGTATTTAGTGAAAGGAAAAAGTTGAAAATCAGAAAAAGCAGCGGTTTCTTTCTTCGTGAACGTACAATTTTTTTCAGATAAAAAAGTTGCGCTTGGACACAGTGTTGCGTCCCGGAAACATTGAGGCGATCAACACGGATTGCTCTTTTGTGAAAATGCTTTAATTTGCTACCACACTTATTTCTTTGCTTTTTTAATCCACAATGCTTACATAACTTGTACCTGTAGCCAGTGAGTGTTTGATCCTTGTTGGTTTTGATCTCGAAACCAGATTGTTTGCATCCGGAAGAAGAATGACCCCCTGGGTATTTCACTACCTTCACTTCGATTGTTGTTCCACTTGGAGACTGGAACATTCAGGTTTATTATTCTGTGATGTGAAACGGTGAGCATGCCATTGCTATGTAGCTAGCGAGGTACTGGAGCAATAAAAATAACTGAAAAAATTGACGATCCCATTCTATCACTTATAAAAGGGTTTCAGTGGAGCATAGTACATACTGTAATCCAGTAGTTGCACATCCTAAAATCATTTGGATCATCAAAGCTGCGCCTAAAAGTATCCGTGAGAGTCGTCCAGTTTGAAGTAGCTTGAAGTGTTGCGCCGCACCCTGATGGCTGAAATAGTAGTTTTTGATACTTTCTACACCACTCAAAGGTATCGTACAAGTAACGTGTTGGGTTCCTCTCCCACAGAATTACGCTAGGTGCAAGTACTGAAATGTTCATGCATAGAAAAATAGTTTTTTTGAATCAAAATATGAATAGAAGTAGGCTATTGAAAAGAAAAATCTAAACCTTGAACACATGGACAAGCCAAGAGCGCGTGGAACAAAAGATGTAGTGGGGGGAGGGAGGTTACATGTAAGGTGATGCTAAGGAAACATCGAATTTAACCTTCTGCATCCGTGATGTATAGACGGAATGTTTTAGAGGGATAGATTAGGAGGAAATGAACGAGTGGGATGTGATTAAAAGGCCAGAGGAATTTCTTAGTAGCGCCACTCCAGAAAGCAAGTAAAGGCTAACCCCTGCGACGGTTTTACAGCGGAAATTTTAGCGATTGGAAGTCTCCTTATCAGCTTTTTGGACTTCTTGCCAACCAGACTCATCTGGCACCCATCTGGCTTTCGCGCACGACTCGTTTTGAACTTTATTGGTTTCTTACTCTTTCGTTGCATAGCTTTCCGCCGTAACCAGAGGGACATATGCATTTCGAGCAGTCTCGCGGATGAGGAAATCCGCCCATCTCACACTTGGCCGAGGTGTCTGGTTTACAACGTTCTGGAATAAGCATTTAAAAGACTAGTGTGAATATGTGATTGCAATCACGTTTTGGGTGCTTTTGTGAAAACGTCAGTCATACTGAAGAATAGACAAAATTTGAACGATGTTTTAAATTGACCGATTAAGTAGTATCACTTTTTTTTCGGATGGCAGTTTTTCCATTTCTTGATTTTCATCCTAATATCTCACATGTATAAAGTGCACTGTAATTTTTCTATCACGAGGAAAAGTAGCTGAACCGGCAACTAACTCAAGCTCTACGTTCCTCCAAAGGAAATTAGTCGATGATTTACCATGTATTTAGCACTGAATTCTGCTCAATAGTACAATATTGATATCTTTAACGAAGCGTATCCTTCTTTTTGGAAAATACACTTTTTCGATTGATCCCTTGTAGTTTTTTCAAAAAAATTTTTTCACTGAAACTCCTTATTTTCACATTACCCATGAATCATTCATGAGCGTATCATTTGCCCTATTCAAACATATGCTATTGTTTTTTTCTCGTTGTTGTCATTCTGGTAGAATTTAAAGCCTACATAACAACTTATCCAGTTGATGACGACACTACTTGAAAAATGTTAAAAAAGAATGCTAAAAAATTAACCCGTAATGTACGCGTTACTTAGTCACAACCTATTCTGATCTCCTATCAGTTTTTTCATCGCTCGTGCATAAAAATGTTAGGGAGCAAATTTGACAAGTTAGCGGTCAACCATCGACATTAGTGGATAACAAACAAAACCATTTTGGAAAAGAAAGATACGGTTTGATGAAGCATTTAATAGCGGAATGCTAGGGAGAGCTCGTGTCTAAGTACATAGTACATCAACGATTGATGTCTCCCAATGGAATATAGAGTTTGAGGTAGTTGCCTATTTGGCTATTTTTCCTCCCCTTAACATCCTAATTTACAGGTCTGCAATTCACTTATTTCATAGCGTAGAAAGGGTACGAAGTGTTCATAATGTGAACGATTCCCTTTCAAACCATTCATTACATTACTTGAAAATTAGGTTCTTACAGGAAAACTTCTCACTCGAAAGAAATTGACACAACTTCTCTGATAACCTGATACGTTATTTGGTTGTAATAAGAAATTAGCTATTAATCTGAAACGACCATCCAAGTAAATCCGCAATGGGCGATTAAACACAAAATCATTCTACAGTACGAATGCGCGAGAGGTGATGTGATTTTTAGGAAAAGAGAAGTCAAACCTTTGCATCCGTAGAGTTCGTTCATCATGGAATACTCGTTGAAAGAAATAATTGGAGACCCAAGAGTCTGCGTGTACATCGCGTCATGCGGCTCTATTGTCGGCGCTCCGTTGATTGATCCACTGATACACATAAGACAGCATTTCGAATTTAATCACATAACTCTAGGTGTTCTCTCAACAACACGTTATAGTACATCGTACGCCGTAATAGCATAGATATAAGCTGGGACCTCACATATATTATATATGCAAACGTACGTGTCTTTGGGGTAATGCATAATGTCACCGTAATCGTACGGAAATCCAAGGTTATCGTTTTCTGCCGGCATAGATTTTTCGAAAGCGTATTGCCAGTCCCACTGAAAACATTGATATATTTGCATCTTTCACGTTAAAGTAAAGATATTTGTTCACTTGGAACAAATACAGGGTGGCTACTAAATATTGGCGCATGGTTTTGATCATATTTCCAAAAAGAGAAGCTATCATATCTTCAGAAGTTTATTTTCATATACAATAAAACATGAAAATTCATTACCAAAGAAAGTGCTCGAGATGGCCTCCTTTGGTAGCGATACAGGCTTGAAGTCTCTTTTCAACTGACATCACCGTGGGCCGCAAGTAGCTGACGTCGGCGTGACGTGAGTAGATCTTCAGACCAGAAGTGGCGCACGATTTGCAAAACGACAGGCAGTTGTTGGATCTGGCTAGCAGACATTCTGCTCGACCTTGTGTACACACAAGGAACCGTTTTTCAAATTTGTCATGGTTTGGGCAGGAATTACTTCTGAAACCATGACACCGCTTGTCTTTGTGGATGAATACATCAAAGTCAGCGCCCACATCTACCCGGGAACAATTTTCACGTAATGCTCTTCTTTCCATGACTCTTTTAACCTTTGAACGTTCAGAAATG